TTTACAACATCCATCACAATTAGTAAATAGATAAGACATACAGACATTCAAAGGTACAGACTAGTGAGAAGGTAGTCTGCATGTAGCAAGTGATAACATAAAACCCACAGAAACATAAAAAGGCAGGGGAAAAAATAGCCATGAACAGAACAACCATAATTTTGTTGTTCTGCCAGCGGCCGTGTGACACACACACATCGGCCTTTCTCCCTCCCTCCAGGCACTGTGACCCAGAACAGGAGCCCACGCTCAGAGCGGGCAGTGATCCCTCCCCAAACCCAACTCCCCGTGCTGTTAATGTCAAGAGAATGCTCCTGAGGCAGAATGACCTGGTCCAACACTCATCACTGCTACAACTGCATCTGTACAGCAGAGAAGGAGGCAGGACACAGGGGCTGGAGTCTTTTAAGAGAGCAGAAGCCTCTTCCCTTGTCAGCAGCAGCAAACCACTGGAGTAAAGGGCAAAAGCACTCTTCAGAAAACCCCAGCACACCCGTGACAGCTACGCGGGACTCAGGAAATGCCACGGAGACAAGTTACTACCCCCAAAGGCATTAAAGGTACTAAGAGACTGTACTGTGCACCTGTTGCTAAGCATATCCAATGGTGACTTCCTACATAGGAAAGAAGTATTCTACATCCTGCTTTACCGAAACTAGATAAATTCTGTTAAAATTAAGTTAAAAAAAAAAATCAACAACAAAACAATTTCGTGGAACAGCATTTAATGCATACATGCCCTTTATACTGCCTGAGCAGATTATGGAGGTTTCTGACTTCCCCATTTCACTACCGCACTTGGCAGAAGGTGGCCTGCCAGATTTCCACGGCAATGTACACCTGTGGAGAGGGAGAAGCTGCGAATGTGTGCCACACCGAAACCAAAACTGAAGGTGAACGAGACAAGTCAGGATACACACACACACTAGCAGCTTTCCCCTTTCCCGCATCCAAATGTAAACACCATGTTTACCCACGAAGGCACCCGTGAGATTTGTTATCTCAACTCCCACGGCGGAGCTGGCGGCCCGTGTGGGGAAGCGAGAGGCCCCGCTCGAGGCGCGCCCGGGAGGCCCAAAGCCCCCGGCCCGCACGGCAGCCCGGCCCCGGGGCTCGGGCCGGGGGAGACGGGAGCTGCACGGGCCGTGCCCGGCGAGCTCCCGGAACGGCCGGGGAGAAAGCGGGCAGAGGGAGCCCCTGGGCCGGCAGCGAAGAGCAGGGACAGGCAGCGCCGTCCGCCAGGGCCGGCCCGAGTGGCCCCGCTCGGGCCCGGCCGGCGCGGCCCCGCGTCCTTACCAGCGGGAGCAGCAGGGCCCACAGCGCGGCCCGCAGCAGCCCGGCCGCCCCCATCGTCCTCCGCCGGCTGCCGGGGAGGGGCCTCGCTGGGCTCGGGCTCCGCACGCCCCCGCGGAGCCTTTCACCGGCACTTCCTCTTCCGTCCGTCGCGGCCGCCGCTGCCGCCGGCCGGTCCCGGGGCGCCGCGGGTGCGGCGGGCGGGGCGGCGCTGCCGGCGGGGCGGCGCTGCCGGCGGGGCGGCGCTGCCGGCGGGGCGGCGCTGCCGGCGGGGCGGCGCTGCCGGCGGGGCGGCGCTGCGGGCGGGGCGGCGCTGCCGGCGGGGCGGCGCTGCCGGCGGGGCGGCGCTGCGGGAGCCGGGCGGGCGCGGCGCGTCCCCGCCCCGGCTGTCGAGTGCCCGGCCCGTGTGTTGTGGCGCTGCCGTTCGCGGGGGGTCCGTGGCTGTCAGCGTGTCGGGGTATCCACGCAGCAGCTCCCGATGTTTTAGGCACTGACAGGCTCGCTAAAACTCCTCGGAGCCCCTACAAGTAAGAGGAAACGGCCGCGTTTGCCTCGCGTCTCCCGACACGAAGCAGTCCCGAGTGTTTCGCCTCGGTCCAGCCCTCGCAGAGCCATGGGGGGGTCGTGTGTTGAGGATAGCAGGATGTCGTACGTGAGAGCAACAAGTACAAAAAATAGCAAAGTGTGACCTATAACACAAGGTTGAGGAAGTTGCGTCGTTTGCTCTTAAAAAAAAACCAAAACAAACCAGAAAAAAACCAAAAAACCCCAACAACCCAACAAGCGCATTTCAGAGATTTCGTCAGGTTTCGAAAGTATTAAAAGGGCTGTGATGCATCAGATGTAAGAACCAGCAAGGATTTCCAGGAAAGAGATGGGCTGAAACAGCTCCGTGATTTACCAGCAAAGGAAGTTGTTCAACATCCCTTTTTTTCACTGGAGGTTGTCCTGCACTGGTTCCGCGATCCGCCCCCTGCCCCTTCCCGGGGCCTGCCGAAGAGCCGGCACAGGGAAGAGGGAGGGGTGAAGATGTTTGTAGAAAGAAGGGAATGTGGCCACGACTGAGACGCCCGAGGTGTGAGGGAAAGGGAGTACGAGAGTTAAGCTCCACTTCAGCACCAGTAAATCAAAGCCTGAAGTGTGTAACTCGTTTAGTTTGAGTTGCAACAAAGTGTTTATTAGTTATTACTACTGAGGAAGGAGATTCCCGCACACATTGTTTTTCCCTCTCTGTGTATTTATGAACAAAGGCATATGGAACATCTCCAGAGAACATTCCGCACTGCATTATGGCAAATTGTCAAGAAGCTGTTCTGTTGCTGTAAAAACGGAGTAATGTTTACATACCTGTACATAAGTAGTGTTATGATCAGTACTGATATTTTGATGGTAACAGACAGGCTTTTTATTTCACTTAGGGACAATCTACAATTCATCATTATATCAGCAACAGAACAGGCTTGTGCATCTTGTAGAATTGCTGACCTGCAAAAGTGTGCCTGACAATTTCATGTGCTTAAACAGTTAAACAGATAATGGCGCACTATGACACAGCTAATAATTAATATTCTATGCAGAACTGCTATTTAAAAAAACAGGCTAGTATTGTCCATCTGTGTGTTTCTATTCTGGTGCTGTTGTCAGAGTAACCATGACACTTTACGCCAACTACTATCTCTTCTTCTGAGTCTAACAAGATCTGAATGACAAATGAATACTTATTTACTTCAATAAATCGGCCAGTTCTGTGATCTGTAATGAGCTATGGGTATGTACATTACCCTGTTTCTTGGGCATAAAAGAAGTGTTTAATTTGAATTACAAGTGCGTAGCTGGTCCCAGGATCAGATTCCATGGCGGCATGTCCTGTCCTGCCACATAGTAATCCTTCTCCTTGTGTTCCCCAGGAAAACACAGCAGTTTTTATTCTATCTGCAGCTGGAAATAAAAATGGGCCAAGGAGTAAGGAATACAATTACCTCTGAATAAAAGGAAATTGCTTTCTCAAAAGTGTATTCTTGTTTTGATGTCCCCTGCCTTGATGGTTGTTTAAAGATAGTGGGAAAACATTTTTTGCCTTAAACACATATTCTGCAGTCCAGTGGGACTATGTGGGTTAGAAATACCTGCACTGAAAAGCTGTGGAGGGTGGCAGGGAGGGTTAGGATATCAACTTAAGATATTTCAGGGGGATTTAGGATATCAGTGAAAACTTCTTGGGTAATCTTTATTAGCAACCTCAGTAGTCCTCAGTCTTTAGCAATAGCTGTAATATGTAACCAAAACTAAAAACATGATCTATTTTCAAATTTCAACACCAAGAAAACTAGATTTTGTTCATATATGTGATTTACAATGCCAACAGAAGAAATCTAGGCTATGAAGACATTCAGAGCTTGAAGAATGACTTCCAAGCCTAAAGGATCTTTCTTTCTTTTTTCCAGTTTTAAACCTCAAGTTCCTTATTTGCAATGAACAATATAACCCAATGCATAAGTAGTGTAAGATACTAAAGCTCTGTACCAAGAATTGTATCCTTTCTAGACCACCATAATTCTTCCCATCAGAGAGAAGAGCATGCTCAGAAAATAATGACTTTCCCAACCAAAACATCAGCATGGAATAAAATCTGTAACTCAACTAAGACATCCCTAAAAGTGTTAAGGAATGGAGATACTTAATGTAGGCATTGAAGGTATTAGAAAGTGGAAACTGAACCTAAATAACAATTAGCACAGAAAATAAACTGCTTGAACAATACTATGCATCTATTGAAATCTTCTTCATGGGAATAATGGAGTTATCCTTTCCTTCCCCCTGCAGTTTTCCATCACTTACATGCACTTCTAAACACTAATGATTTCAAAAGGAAAGAAATCCAAAATACCATTGATTCCAGGGCTGTTCTCCTAATCTTAACATTGCATTAAGTGCTAATTTATGTTTTTTTCATAATGATCAGTCTCTTGGCTTTTCAGTAAGCTTATCCCAACCAATCTGCTTTTTCCTATTACTTTCCCTGTATTTTCCTTCTGCAGTTAAATTCACTCTTCCAATAGCTTAACTTTGAATTATTGTCTAATTCTGTTAATTCTGCATAAAATGCCATGAACAGAAGATAGTTCCTTCCTAGGTAGGCAGATGTGGAAGGATGGCTATCAGCATGAGGTGTTTTAGAGAAACATTGCATAATTTTTAGAGGACTAAGATTGCAAAAGCAACTGGACTCTACATGTCAAACAGTTATGTCACACAAGTATCAGGACATAGGGGAGTTGCGGTTCACTGATCAATACACAAGCTTCAAAGGGATGAAGGAATTTTTAACATGTCTTAATTTCTAAGAACTAAGAAAGAACACTGACCCAAATGCTGCACATATTTCTAAGAAATTTAGTAGGCAGTAGAATAGCAGGACAGAATAAAGCAGGTGATGAGGAAAGGGAAATAGCTTAACTAAAAAACATTTTACTCCATCCTATAAATTCTTTCAGTGCCTCATATTTTCACAGCTTTTTGGCAGGAGTCTGGAACAAAACAGCAAAATAACACTGTGAAACCTCTTGATTAAATGGATACAGGAAACATTGTTGCTGAAGCCTGCTGTCTCTGTGAGACAGGCACACATGGCAGTGATAGGGAAATGTGCAACAGCCTAGTGGGACCTGTATCTCCTGGCAAGAGACTGATCCAAAACATACAAAGGATGGAATTTAAGAATTATTTATTCATACAAACACATTTAGCAACTATTCCCCATGTACCAACAGCCTTATCTGAACACCAGTAAATATGAATTTCTGCAAGGAAGAGATACCCTAGTTCACTGAATATTATGCAGCAGAGAGAATAACTAATTGAAATGCATTTTCAAGGTAATGTTTCACCTAGTTGAAAGAAACAAGTGAAAGCTTTACTCATACACCATTATGCAGCAAGGCCCCATTAGCATGCATTAATGAAGCACTGTAAACCTTACTTTTGAATTACATTGCTAAGCTTGTGTCACACCCTCAGAGGCATTGAGTCAGGTTTTAATATTCCCTACTAGTAGAGACTGCAAAAGTAAATGTGGGTAACTGCATGTAAAAGGTTATTTCTTTCGCCATTAATCTGCAGCTTCAGCTCATGTTGAGTCCAGACTTTCAAACTTGCATATATTTGATCAATTTTTTAAAAATAGATTTCTGACTAGAATAAATACCATTGTTTTGTCAGATCTATGAATTCTTAATAACACACAGCTCACTAATTAATGGTTATTAGGGCAGTCTTCGTTCACCTTTAGACTCAGGTAAGTGATGTAAAATGTACACCTATTTCTTAAGTACCAGCAAGATCAGATGCATGTAAATAAACTATTGTACATAAAATAAAAAGAATCCTGTAACCACTTTTTCTAGCTCTTTGATGAAGAAACACAAAATTAATTAGTCATCCACTTGTAGAGGCCAACGTCAGCTTTAAAAGCACATTAAATTCTCTTCCAGTGATTTAAATGTAGATTTTAAGTCCATTTAAAAAAATTCAGTAAGCCAGAGCAATCATACTAATTTCAGTTTAAAAGAATGGCTTATTTTCTTACACATTACTTAAGATGGTCTAAATATATACATATATATTAAAAAAAATATATTAAAACAGTAAGAGACATGATTCAACTTTTTTTTTGCCTCCGAATTAGGATGGGCCCTTAGTAATAATAGCCTTAGTTTTGTTTGGTTTGGATTCATATGCAAATATTAGAGGAAACTTAACATTTGTTTGAATATTCTTCCCATTTACATTGTTTTAATAACAACAAAAAATTTAAAAGGTTCACTGAATAAAATAGTTTCAACACAGTTCTGTGGCCTTGAATTCATGAATAATTCACTGCAGAGGTCTCAACAAACAGCTCAGAGCTGTTGGTCTTGTCCAGCCATTACTAATCTCTTACATTAAAACTAGGTTAAGAGAACTTCCATTTAGATAAAGGTTTTGGGTATCATTTTAGGATATTGGTTATGCTAATGGGATGCATGTACATTACAGGATGTATGGAACAAGTGACAACCACAAGGTGTTCAGTAGCCATACTGCAATGCTTGATAAGCTGGGTTTAGGCAGTGCAGAGGCCAAAGCACACCATGCCATGGGTGTCCCGTAGACCTCATTCTCCCTGAAAGGGCACAGCTTTTAGTTATGGGCTTGTTCATCTCTGAGCTCACAGGTGAAGACAGGAGCTGTAGTTCAGTATCAAGCACCTCAAGCTGGGAGTTTTTTTGGCACAAGGACACATACCAGTAACATCCCTGTCCACTCAAAGTGCTTTCACTCTTTTGTTTCATCTTTCCATTCTCTACGCAACAGCAGGAGAAAAAGAGTTAAAGGAAATCTGGTACATTCATGGTGATCTGGCATCTCAGTTTGCAGAGTCCATCAAACTGTCACCCAACCTTCCTCAGGCACAAGGAATTCTTCATGACCTTTCACACCAACCCGTCCATATCCTCCCAATACTTGGAATCTCAATCCTCCTCATACTTGGAATCTGAGTATCAGCTGGATCTAGCTCATTTCCCTGAAGTTTTGGCAGTGCAGTGGACCAAAGGCCCATACTGCTACTACTACTGCTATTTTTTATTAATGTTAGTTTTTATTTGGCAGTTCCAGTGGGTGCAGCAAGCCTTGGCATTTAGAGCATCTGCAATCTCACATATAGCAGAAAGAAAGAGAAAAATCCCTCTTGTCTTTCAAACACAAATATGACATCAGTCTGCAACTGCTGAAACCAGAGCTACCTTTGTGGGTGGCTCTATACATTCTGAAAACAGCTTTGTAAGCCACTGCAGGAAGAGGATACTACCATTCATTAAGGTTATATTGGCAATCTGTGTCTCAAAGTCCCAGCTTAGTCATGCATTTAAGTGCCTAATTTCCTCCATATACCAATTATGCACATATTATGGGTATTTTCCAACTGATATCAAAGCTGTCTTGTGCATTGCAGATAAGAAATGTCAACATGAGCATGTTCTGCTCCCTGCTCCTTTCTTATTAATGTGCACCACATTGCCTCTCCATGGCTAAATCTTCCTTACTTCCATACCTCATTTTTTCTGTAGTTCCTGATCTGCCTGTTAGCTCTTCAACACCTTCCCTGCAGTAGGAAGACTTAAGCAATAACAAGGAGAGTTTATGCTTTCACATAGCAAAGAAAAACTGGCTTAGAGCTGTGTATAATGAAAGGTTTAATTCCACAGCTTAATGATCTTTTGAGGAAACAGGCCAGTTCTTAGAGAGGACCTATTCTGTACATTATGAGAAACCTTTTACATCTACAGTGTAACCATATAAATATTAACAGGAAAATTACTGGTGTAAGTACCTTGGGCCTTCTGTGTCAGACAAATCACTGTATATGAAGGAAGGACAGTTTATCTGTAGAAGTCCAGGCACCAGCCACTTACAGCATCCCTTCAGGCACTCGGGACTCCACCTTTATTGGCAAGCAACTAAAATTTTGAATTTCAAGCATTTACCACAAAGTATCTAGAAACCTTACAGGAACCCACTCACCAGAGTATATCATAGTATCACTATAAAACACCACTGTTTCCTTCCTGTAGTTCTACAGAGATTATGAAAGGCAGACAAGATTGTTCTTATCTTCAACTGTTGGCTTTTCAAGACAGTGTCACAGTGCTGACAGCAAAGTAAATCCAAACATGGTCAGGAGCAGCCATTTAATCATCTTTCACTGACAGATTGGGGTTTCTTTTTCCAGTAACATATAATGAATTTCATGAACATGGAATTCAACACTGTTGAATTGTGCTTATTGTAACTGGCATAGTAAGATTAAGGGTATTTATTAATGTCTTAACATTTTTTGTCTATACAGAGTGGAATCTATAACAGCACCTGGTAGCCCAATATAGCAAGAGCATACAAAGGAATAGTACCATGTGTGTGGGTTGCAAGTTATCATATCACAGGCAATTTGGAGCATAGCATTGACACCTTATAATTGTATAAAGCTGCTCTGCAGGAGATGAAAAAGACATATTAGGCTGTGAAAAAGACAAATACCTTTTCTATATACTGACCACAGGTGTATTATGGAACAGTCAGTAAAGCCTAGCAGGAACATCAAGAGATAAGACAGCAAGAATTGAAAATACCTCCCCATCCAAAATTCTATTTCCCAAGGAAGCAAACAGTGCTAAGACTCTGCCAGACTACATAACAAACAGTTGATCCTGCTCTCCTTGCAAGTTATTTTACTTCTGACTAAAAAAGAAGCCATAAAATGGCAGTTGCAATGCTTCTTGATTGTCTTGATGTAAGGCCTTCAGCCTACAATATAGATTAAAAAGCTGAATCAATTGGTATTATTTCTGTATTTTATTTCAGTCAAGCTCAAAAAACCACCAAACCCCACAATGGAGTAAGAGCTTGCATGAAACAGAGAAGACTTGATGTAAAAGTGTGCTCTCTAGTGGAGAAATGTCATTCTGTGCAATAAAAATTCAAGCCATGCTGATCCATCCATTTAACCAACAGGTTTTTAGTGCAGAGAAAGTATCAAGATTTTCCACAATATGAAAAGAGTGCAAGTGACCAGTTCAACATATTTATTATAACTAAGGTAGGCTCATACTGAGTTACATGACAGATTACAAGTACATAAGGTTTCTAAATACAGAACAAAAAAATACCTAAGCCCTAAGAGATGTGTTATGTTTGTTAGATTTTTTTAAAGTAATGACAGTTTTAATGTAATAGCAAAACATTTATTTTTAATGATGTTGCACGTTATTATGGTACTATATTAATACTATATAGTCTGATGAAAATAGGTTAGTTTCACACCAGATAGTGGTACTTGGTTTACATGATCGAAACTAGGATTTTTCTCTAAATAAGTGTTTAATAACAAATTTCCTGTTCATTTATTTTTAGAGAGAAGAACTGAAATATTCACCAACTCCTTCATTTCTAGTTATACCACTAATTTTAAATCCACTGAATGAGTCTTCAAGAAACCCTAACTCCTGTTCAATGTGTTTTCTTACAATGGTAACAAAACATAGCCCATTTTCTTAATTAAAATTTTCTTCTGCCCTATCACCACTTTTTCTGGGCATGTAAAGATGACTGAATGCATTAACTCTGTATAATAGCAGATGAATTAGAATCTATTCTTTCAAACAACTTGGCCATTTTCTGCTTCCTCAACACCATAAAGGAATTAGCTTCTTTAAATTCTGTATCTTAATTAGGCTGTTAGAGTATATCTCAAGTTGGAAGGCAGAAATGTAAGACTTGCAAAACCTAAATATGCTAATTTTAAAATATATTAAAAATTGGCGTGCATTCAAATTCAAGAGTAAAGATCTAGCAAGACATGGATATTAGATTCCTCTTATGTGGTTACAGAATGTTATGATCAGCTGTTGACTGTTACAGAAAGCGATACTCCCTCTTCCTTTTTGGACCTAAAAGATAAAATATGGGGGAGGGGAAAGCTGTTTTTCTGAACATATACACAAACAAAATCATACAAATTAAAAGATTTGCCAGCTAAAAATTTTTTTTAATGGAAAATAGTTCATAACTGATCTTCTGCCGAGAGCAAGGGCAGAGTTTGCTGACTTCCAGCATAACTTGTGCTGATATGGCAGCAATTTAAACACTTGTAATTAGTTAATCCCATGAGAGCAAGCATATTTCCTGTTTCTACAGTGGTAGTCATATGGAATTTTGAGCTGGGGAACAATTGTCAGTGATTGAGTAAGAGGAAAACCCAGTTCTGCTTCAGCAGTTTTGTCATATCACTTAATAGAAAGATGAATAAGAACTAAGTAATAAACTGTAGATTGAATATGTCAAATATTTATGGATATTTATTTAAATATTTATTAAGTGCTGGAACTCTGCAAAATGCTGTTTCCATTTAACACTCTCCTGCAACTTTTCACAATATTCTTTAAACGTGTGTCCTTCACATGGCCATATCACTTACACCACATGCAAGAAAAATTAAATTCATATAAAACAGACAGTCTTGAAATTAAGGAGCCAGAAGGACAGGCAAGATATCCCTTGAAGTCCAGTGTGGTTACTATTACAGAGAAGTAACAAAGAGAGGGCTCTTAAACATATTTAGTTTAAAATTCAATGGAAGTCAAGAAAAACTAACACACAGGTGTGAGCATATTGTAGCACCACTGGAAGTTAACTGGTAGGTACAATTAGCTGTGTTGCAGTAATAGCTGCCAGTCACAGCAGTGTGTGTGCATTGATGGGAGGCAGCCCAGTCACTGAGGGACACATCTCTTGCTCTAAGTCTCATTTGAGAGTCAGAATGCTTGCAAAAGCTCCATTTTTAGATACAAAAGTGTTATCTCGGCAAGGCAGAAGTTTCACTGTGTTTTGCAGACTCAGCTAACTATCCTACATTAGAGTTCCTTCACTACTGAAAGGCATTAAAAATACCAAAGATTTATGCATTAGTTTGTAAAAAACAGGTCCAAAGTTATCTGACAGCTACCAGGTCATACTTAGCAACTCAGTTTAGCCCATGTAAGAAGTGAAGTCATGCGAAGCCTTCCAATTAAATATCCTCTGCATTTCCTGAGAGGAGAAAAAGATGCCAAAATCCCAGACAATTCATACTGACTTCAAATCCCATCTTATATGACATCTTTGAGAAGCTTTTGGGACACAGCTAGGAAGTCATCCACAGTGACAAATTACAGTTGTTACTACAACACTACCATGAAAGACCATTTTAAGGATAACTTACAATAATTCCTTCAGAAGATATTGTGCAAAGAACACCAAAGCTTGTACTGACCTATTTTTAATTCAGGTACTCTCCCTACTCCATGATAACAAGGTTTTAGAGAATATGAAAGCACCATCCAGTCCAAGGGGTCCTCATAAGACAGAGCAGATTTCAGCCTTCTCTCAGTTTCCTATATTTCAACAGTTGCAGAAGTGCCATTTGTGTAGCCACCTTTAGACTTCATGTGGTCCTGAATTGACACAGCCTAGGGGAAAAAAAGCTTATTAGAACATGCATCTTATAAATTCTGGTTGCCAGAACAATTATTAAAGGCATCACTTTGAAAGGGCAGGTGGGCCATATGTTTACAGTGCTGAGTCCCAGCTGTAGAAGGGAGAAATAATTACTAAATCCAGGACTGTTAAATACTATTTTAAGTCAGTGTTTGAGATGCATTTTGCTATAGAAAATCCACTTATTCTTATATCCTTCACCCTGACACAGCTTTGACTTCAAGGTGATTTGGTTTTGTATCAAGTGCATCCATAGAATCTGTATCCAAAAGGTTCTCATTGTGTATAAAGATACTGAGGAAATGAGCATTTCCTGTTCCGTGTATCACCCACAGTATCTCATGTTTACAAACCAAAAGACAGTTCTGTTCTGATGCTACACTATTGATTTAAAAAAAAACCCTCAAAATTTTTCTCTCTTCTATAATTGTCTAGTATTTTATTAGCTACCTGCTCTACAGGTTATCTGTGCTTGTCCCAGAGGTGCACACTTACTGAGGAATAGTCACTACTCATCTCTCTGGCCCCGATGTGCGCGGTGTGCACAAAGTTCATTGGTTCTCCTATCATATTCCGGTCCAGCCTCCGGCGCCTCTTCTATGAGAAAATAAGATATCTTAGGTCTCCATTCAGAAAATATCAGCAGCTTTCAGCCAGAAGCAGGTAGCCAAGATAAAAATAGATAGCCAGACTGACCCCAAATGACACCTCATGGCAAGTGGGCTGAAGTTTCAGACTGTTCACAGTAAGACACTATGAAAGTCACTTTTATTCCTGCTAAGTTTTCTTTACTGCTGGAAAGTCAGAGCCTGAGAACTACAAACAGTCACACTGTCTAAGTTTCTGGCAAAGAACACACAGTTAAAACATAGCTTAACAGGACTGATTTTAGCTTTTGCACTACTTTGCCCAAACTAATCAAAACAACAGTAATGAAAAGTGTTTCCCACGTAACTGGAAGACAGAATTTAAAATCCAATAAAGGGTGGCAGTTGTGCATCTACCTACCGGTGGGGGCTGTTCACCATTGCACCAATTAAAGCAAACCAGGAACTCAGTCATTATATTTCTCAGTAAGTAAAAAGGTCTTGTTAATTGTAATTCTCTGGGAGTTCGAGTGGTACAAGGACAAGTGCAGTTCCTAGAGTGAGCTTAGAAAGGAATTGCTTGTGCAGGTTCACTGGTAGAGATCACAGAATGCATCTGATAAGTATACCTGCAAAGAGATTAATATTTCAGTTTATATTAAAATATATAAAAGTTTTGTAACAGTTATTGAGCAACAGGCAGTTCCTAAGACTAAACCAAGACTGTTACATTCATAAACATGCCTATAGAGGAGAGAAGCATCAATTTAAAATTACTATGTTCACATCAGAAATAAGGGTTAAGAATTCTGCATATTTACTCACAGAGAGTATTGGAAGTTCTTTATAGAAATGTGATAAAATCTATGCTAGAATGAAGTCTTGTTTAACAGTCTGTGATCTGGTTTTAAACAAAGCTAATCAATACTTATGAATTATTTCTGATTTGAAGAAACCAGCTTTGAACAGATTGACCTACTAACACTTACAAAATGAGGCCTTACATATGATAAGGTTACTCTACTTAGATAGGGAAGAGCTCAAAGCAAAGAACCTTCTACAATTCCAAATAGCCCTTAGAAGAGAAAAGAGGAGCCTTGCATACCAGCAAGAAAAACATTAATCAGAGTATAGAGCTTCCCAGAATGTATAAAAATATTAACCTAGCAATCCTGAACTGGAGACACAACTAGGAAACTCACTGACTCTAAGTACCATGAAGCCAGGAGACAGCCTAATTTTTAGTAGTTACTGACTTTTTTCTTTTTTTTTTAATGTATCTTTGTTCATAGTAAACCTTGAGTTATAGAGTAGCCTTTGCTATCAAATTTTTCATACCCCAAGTCATTAAAACAATATCACAACATGTTCATTTAAAGAAAATTTTGTTATTTTTTTTTAAGCTTACAGCTTAACAGAAGTTAAACAGTATAGTTTCATCAATTCAGTCTTTCTGAGCCTCCACTAAAGCTTTCACAACAAACCAGCATAAGCTTCATAGGCATTTCCTCTTTCATAGGCATTTCTTATGTAGTCCCACAATTATGTAATTAGCACTCTATTTCTTTCACCTTTGTGGTTTTCTAACATTTCATCATGTCTCACTTCAAGCAGATTTCTTAAATTTCTTCAATTTATCTTTCAAAGCTCTTGTTGTGTCTGCCCCTTTGCTTTAAGGAGTCTATATGATACATTTCTGCAGAATGTCTTATATTATTCCAGTTTGTCCTAGGTGGTTCTAATGCAACTCGTTATCTGCCTCAATTACCATTTTTCACCTCATGCCCTCACAACGGTCTTTATCACCACAGGGAGGGACAGCGCTCCACACAACCATAAAAACATACAGAAGTCAAAGCTTTTGCCAGCACTTCACATTAGTCGTGGATTTTTCGGGCTTGCTGCATGTTAATGAGAGCACATCAAAGCTAAGGTTTTCTTAAGCGTGTCACCGCACGGAGATCACCTATTCGGAAAGCAGCCCGAGCCCGTGCCCACCCCAGAGCACCAGCTGGACGCCTACCGTCCTCCTGCCGCACCCCGTGTCCATCTCCCTCCGTGGGCTCCACGCGTGCCTCGGCTCCCGGAGAGTCCTGACAGGATGGTGTGTCCTCATTCAAGCGCTGGCACACACCCAGCTCCCGTCTTGGCAGCTTCAGCACATTTACAGTTCATATTCCTGGGTTATAATTAGTCCTGTTGGCTAAGCAGGAACGCTGCGCTGCGCTCCCATGCCCCGCGGCGGCTCCTGCGCTCCGGGAGGTGCTGCACAAGTCTCCTGTGCACTTCACGCGTCCCTACAGGTGTCAGGAACGCCGAGCGGAGACCAAAAATAGAGCCCTGCTTTGGCGTCAGATTTGTGCAGCCGTGCAGTTTTCTCAGCACTCCCCATGCAGCCTGTGGCTCAATTCCACCCCTGCGGCAGCCCTGCAGGTGTCCTGCTGGCACACGGCGTGCTGAACGCCTTCCTGTTGTCTTTTACATCAGAACGTTTCTTTTCCTCTGCATGACTCAGAGAATCATCCCCCAGGACGGGAATGTTTGTGCCAGGGCATGGGACACCACCTTGCTCCCGGAGACTCAAGGTTTCCACACTAACTAGAAGAATTTTAAAAACATCTTAATGTTTCCAGGCTCACCCAAGACAATTAAAAGCCAACAAGAATCCCCGAAGCAAGGAGAAAACAACATTTTGTCACAGTTGGCACCCAGACCAGAACGGGACAATATCCTGTTGTTCTTTCTCTCTGTTTTTCACCATGGCAGCAGTATCATCCAGGCGGGGAGACAAAGGCCCTGGGAATGGCTAGCACGCGCAGACACGGATGCTGGATGTGCTGGCAGGATGCACAGCCCTGCTGGAGCCCGGGGCCTTAAAGCACCCCAGAGCTTTGGGAATGTTGAGATAAACTTCCCTGAGTGTAACAATCAATTTCTTCTACCACTGCTGTATATTAAGTATTCAAAGTCTTTTTGTATTTTACTTACAAAATATCAGCGGAAATACTGGTCTGAATCAAACCAAAGAGAACCAAAACCCTGAATCTTTGCATGGACAAGGGAGACACATGGTAATGTTGATAAATAATATCACTAAACAAAATTATTCTTCCCAACTGGCCTCTAGACTCAAGGTGAGATCATGCAAAATCCTTACCTCGAGCTGTTAGTGCAGGACAACGAGGGTACAGTTAGTGAATATTGTCACAGGCTGCCTCCCCCTGTCCCAACTCAGCCTTAAACTGGGATTACTGCTGGGCCCACTTGTCATTTTCATTCCAGCTCTGTCAATACCAAGTCCATGCAAGGAGCAGTGTATTTTAGCCTAAGTGCCTTTCTAAAAAGCACCATACCTCTAATTTGTTCATTATACCTCCTTTGCTCATTTGACACCAACATCATGTTCAAATCCTCTAACAGTTGTGTGTTTACATATTTGAATGACAAGGTGTGGCAAAAGACAGCAAAACTTGTATTAGTTTTGAGCATGACACTTAGAGAATGCATCTTGCTTGGTAAAAAGGTGAAGAGTACAAAACAATTATTAAGGCTTTGGAAAAGCCTTGGGGCCAAACAGCTAGAATCTGCTGTAGAGTGAGCTTAGCTGCTTGGGAATAGCATCCTGATTTTACCAGTGTATGTACAGATTACAGGGACGCATTCCTCAAATGCATTACTATATAATGATGCTACTATGTATCTTAAATGAATATATTGGTCTACCATCCTGGAGCTTCACAGAAAGCTGAGAATAAGGTTTTACCTGAACCCTTCAGTAATCTAGGTGTGTAGGATTTTTAACATAAGAAATTGGGGTGTACTCTACGAGGACATCCTTCTTTCCAAAGCTAAGTAGAAACATATATTTTAAAAATAACTCTTCAAAACCAAACCAACAAAAAACCGAAACAAACAAACAAACAAAAAACCCCCCACAAAACCCTCCTCACATATAAAACCCCCCAAATCACAAAGGCAGCTCCTCTATTTCAAAGTAAAAATTAGCTATATTACCTTAACCTTGAAAATAAAATTTTATTTTCAACTAAGTGCCTGTTCCCCTTCAAATAAGAAGAAAAGCCAAGAGACCAAAGTATGTGTTCTGCTTGGAAGTTAAAAATAACTGCAAAAGAAACCAACTAAGGTTTGCTTGCAGGCTTACCAGAAAAAACAGTAAAAATCATGAAAAGCAAGGTTGGCAACACACCTACCACCAATAATGTAAACACGTTGAATGGATTAAGTGGCTTGTAAATTATGAAATTTAATGTTACTAAAAAAAAGCTAAGATCATAAATTTCCATTCTTTAAAGAAGGGGGAAAAAAGCCTTAACAAGAGGTAGAGTTCCTCAGGCACAGCAGAGGAGCAAACATGATGGCCAAGGAAAAACAGAGGAGGGAAGCAGGAAAAGCAGGAATTGCCCTCATTTCGAGAGGGCTACAGAGGAGACTCCCTCGGTGTCGATGTCCCGGACGGCGTCGCTCGGGCGGGCCCGGGCACACGCCGTGACCTTGAACCGCAGCGATGCTCGGCGGCGGCCGCGCTGCGCCCGGCTCATCGACAGGGGGCGCCCCGCGCACCCCCGCGCTCGCGGCCTTCCCGCCCCGCCGCTCCCTCACGGGGAGCGCGGCCGGTCTCGGCCCCAGCGCAGCTCCTCACTGCAGAACCGGGCCGGTGTCCGGAGCGGGGCCCCGCCGAGGCTCCGGCGGGCCCGAGGGCCCGGCACTGCCGCAGCTCCGCCCTCACGGGAGGGGAGTGTGCGGCCCTGTGCTGCGCGCCCGGACCAGCAGGGGGCGCCAGGCCGCCGCCGTTGCCGCCTCCGCCCTTCCCCGGCGCGGATGCCGGCGCGCGCCCTCAGGCGGTCGCGCTGTAACGCGGCTGGGCGTGAGTGAGCGCGCCCCGGCCAATCGCCGCGAGCCGTTCGCGTAAAGCCGCTTCCTATTGGCTACGCGGAGGAGGCGGCCGCCCAATGGGCGCGGCCGAGCGCGAGGGGAAGGCGCGCGCGCGCGGGCACCGCCCCCCTTTGCGGAGCGCGCGGCGCGGCGCGGACCGGCCCTGCTGCTGCTCTGAGCGACCATGGCGCTGCCCAGCAGTTGACGTTTGGCTTCTCCCCTCTCCACCTTCTCCTCTTTCTCCGGCCCCCTTCCTTCCCTCTGCCCGGGTCCCGGCTCAGGCACGTAGACGGCCGGTACCGGAGACACCGGGTCCCCCCCCAGCCCCTCAGAAACAGGCAGTAGGAGTCGGGCCGGGCGGCCGCCGGACGCGCCATGAACATCATCATCGGCATCGGCGGGTGAGAGCCGGGACCGGGCGGGGAAGGCGGCTCGGGCTGCGGGACGGGCGCGGGTCGCGCGGGTCTCTGGTCGCGGCCCCTCCCGGTGCCGCAGTGGGGGTGGGGGGTGGACGCGGCCCCCACGTGGCGCTTCCCGACGGCCGCGCTCTCGCCGCAGGGTCACCAACGGCGGCAAGACCACCCTGACCCGCCGGCTGATGCGGGCCCTGCCCAACTGCAGCGTGGTGCACCAGGATGACTTCTTCAAGGTGAGCGGGCCCGCCGGCCCTGCCGGCCGCGGGAGGGCGCGGGGTGACCCCCGCGGGCTTCCGCCCGCGCCGCTGGCGCGCCGCCCGCCCTGCGCCGCCCTGCCCGCGGGGCCGCCCTGCCCGCGGGGCCGCCCTGCCCGCGGGGCCGCCCTGCCGGCGGGGCCGCGCTGCCCGCGGGGCCGCGCTGCCCGCGGGGCCGCCCTGCCCGCGGGGCCGCCCTGCCCGCGGGGCCGCCCTGCCCGCGGGGCCGCCCTGCCCGCGGGGCCGCGCTGCCGGCGGGGCCGCGCTGCCCGCGGGGCCGCCCTGCCCGCGGGGCCGCGCTGCCGGCGGGGCCGTGCGGCCGCCGGATAAGCCTGCGCCATGGCGGGTCCCCGCGGCTTTCCGTGGAGCGCCGTGCTCGTGGCCGTGGCCAGATACAGGAGCAGGTGGCTTTATCGTACTGCTCGTTTTATCTGCACGCAAAAGAACCTGGTGGAGGGTTAAGATTCCCCTTTGTAGCTTCAGGGTTTCGATCTTGAATCTTGCTTTGAAATGGGTATTGAGCTTCTCAGTAGTTGTCCAGACCAAGCAAGTTTGTTTTGTTTCCTTGTTACTGTTTCAGCCCCAAGATGAAATAGAAGTTGAAGATGGGTTTAAACAGTATGATGGTAAGCCTTTGTTAGTATTTTCAAAGCATGTTGATTCTTTACGAGCACTATTTTGTACTGACTATATCAGTAGATGATATTTAATTACTGCTTAGTGATAGTTGTCTATTTTGTCTTAGTGATTAGTGCATTAGATATGGAAGCTATGATGAGTACCATAAATGCTTGGATAAAAAACCCAGTCAAGTTTGAACGTTCTCATGGGATCAACAACACACTGGATGCCCCGATCTTGGAAGATAAGGAGGGAGGAGACGAAGCAATCCACATTCTTATTGTTGAAGGCTTCCTACTTTACACCTACAGGTAATCATTTGATTTTTACATTATTTTATGGAATGGGCAAACCTCTAAGGGAATAAAAAGACCTGTTCTAAACCAAGAGTTAGCAGCTGGCATTGACTACTGCCAAGTTTAGGTATCAAAAGTCTAAAGGTAGGTTTAAATAGAGGAAATGGATATAGTTTTGCTTTTCTGGGTTTTGCTACTAATTATTCGAGGTGTAACCAAACAGGTGTCTCTTTCAGGCCACTGATTGATGTGTTCCACCATCGGTACTTTCTTTCCATTCCATATGAAGAGTGTAAAAGGAGAAGAAGGTAAGTTTGCCTGACTTCTCTGCTAGCCCAATAATGCCTTACTAGATTCAAGATATTGTTTCTCGGAAGCTTTTAGATGAGAAAGGATAAAGGCAAATGTAGCTGCTGAGTTAGAAGACTTTAGCTTCCTTCAACAAACTGACCTAAAACTTCCCACCAAGCTGTTGTGTCATGCATGTAACAGTTTCTGCACACACCTTTCACTAGGCTTTCTCCCATGCTGTTTTTCCAGTTACACAGTTCCCAGGTCTTGAACTATCTGAGGTTTTACATTTGGCTGTGTTGTTGCACGCATATACTGTTGCTAGTGCAAATGAAAACATGAATTACATTTCAAGAGGAATAAGCAGACAGTTAATTTACCCAAAGTTCTGCTACAGCTTTTAAGAGTTTATTCACCCATATTTAGATCAGTGTGTCTTGGGAAGTGCCCTTTTGCATTTTAAGCACTTTGGCCCTGCACATCAAATTTCAATTTATTTGCGTAACTTGATGCTTGCAGGTCTTGCTAACTAGTAACTTCTGATAAGCTCAGAAACCAAACTGGAATCAGTGGGCTTATACTAATGTGTAGAGAATCCCAATGAAGGATCTGTCATTTTCCTGAACTGTTACTAGACTGCTTGTGAGTAACAATGCCTTAATTTACAGTTCAAGGAATTACACTGTACCGGATCCACCTGGATTGTTTGATGGCCATGTTTGGCCTATGTACATAAAGCACAGGAAGATAATGGAAGAACTTGGAGTTGATGTGGGTAAGTCTTTAATGACAAAAGCACTTAATGAGATTTCTTTTCAAACCTGTGCAATACATACTGGTTAGATGCATGAGAGGAGATGAAGCAGGTAGAG